GGACCGGGTGGAACGCGACGCGGGCGCCGACGGCGCCGCCGACGGCGACGCGGGCGCCGACGGCCGGCTGCGGCGGCAACGAGGAGCTCGCGCGCGGCGGCGTCCCCGCGCGCGCGGCGAGATTCGCGGCGGGACCGTCGTCGTCGTAGGTCTGCGACGCCGGATGCGACAGCAATAAAGCTTGCGACGCTGATTGCGATAGCCATTGCTCTACTATGAAAAACCAAGGGGAAACGTGCGACCGTTCGTGCGACATGTCTTGCACCGGCACGAGCTGCGACGAGGACTGCGAATGCGTGAAAAAGGAAACTAAGGCGTCCTGGCTGAGCCGCCGAGCGGGTCACTATATCATGCATTATATTTGGCTGCTGTTGATTCCTGGCTGCTTGGGTTTCTGCTGCTTTTTAAGCCAGCGGAGCGATCGCCAAGCACGCGAAAATCGCGAAAGGGTCCGGGCCGAAAAAAGAGCGAACAAGACCCGCCAGCCGTCGCCTTTTCCTCCCAAAGCGCCGAGCCAGCCGTCGGCGACGCCCGGTGGCTGGGCCGCCGGCGGCGCGCAGGGCCAAGTCGCCGGCGTCGTCCCGGGGCAAGTGCTCCAAGGAACCGTCGTGCAATCTCCCGGACAGGTCTTCCAGGGAACCGTCGTGCAGAACGGCCCCGGCTACTACACCACGAACCCCCTTTACCCGGGCCAGATCCAGATGGGCGGCATCACCCACTACTCACCGCGAATTTAGCCGACCCCCCGGCTTGGGTAAGTACGTCAAGCCGCCCCTCAAAGGCGGCCTAAAGTGCAAGCTCAGCCGCAACGGCACGGCAACATCTAAGCCCTCATCTTTGCACCTCGGTTTTCTCCCGATTTCTACGGCAAATCAGCCCGATCGACGCCCGCCCTGGTGATCGTGCCCGCGGCCGCCGTCGCCATGGACGGCGTGGGGCTCCACCTCGTGCCGCGCGCGCGGCGGAAATGGCGGCGGCCGACGGTCTACGTCGGCGTGGCGACGGTGCTCGTGGTCGGCAACCTGGCGACGATGCTGCGCGGCGTGCGATGGACGTCGTCGGCGACGGACCTCGACGTCGCGGTCGCCGACGCCGTCCCGGCGAGCGCGCCGGCGCCGACGCGGCGGATCCCGACGCGCCTGATCCAGTCCGCCGCCGCCGAGGACCAGGAGCCGACCTGGCCCGCGGCGACGGCGAAGACCGTCGCGCTCAACGCCGGCTTCGACCGCCTCTTCTTCGACGACGCCGCGGCGCTCGAGTTCGT